CTGGTGACCCACAATGGTCGCTGCACTGGCCTGGTTGGTCATTACACTAGCAAGCTAAAAGTCATGGAGACATCGGAATTACATAATTCCAGTGTACAACCTTCTGTGTACTCAAAAATTCTCCGCTTCACAACAACGAGCACTACATACTGTTTCGTTTAACGCCTCCGGCCAGTGGAAAGCCCACTTGGCCGGTGAAATCTGGCGGCTGATGTAGACACGGCTTGGCCGGTGTAAGGTCCAATTGGCAGGTGCAGACCCTAAGAACTCGGCGGCCATGGCCGTAAGGCCTTCACAATACCAGGGTGGGAGTGTGGCCCGGGCAGCGTAACAACTTTTCCCGAGCGTCCCACACAGGGGGAAGTAGCCCCGCCCAGCTAAAACCGTGGTCGGGAGTCAGAGGCCTGGCCCACCTCTGCCGACGGCACCATCCAGCCAAGCAGGCGCCAGAGCACCCCCTCGGCGCGCACAGGCTAGCAGGAGGAGGAGGGGGAGGAGGAGGAGGAAGAGGAGGGGGAGGGGGAGGGGGAGGGGGGGGAGGAGGGGGAGGGGGAGGGGGAGGGGGAGGAGCAGAAGGAGAAGGAGGAGCAAAGCCATCGAAGACGAGCTGCGTGCGCTGAGCTGCGCCATTGGCAGCGTCACCAACAGCAGCAGCTGCCGTGGGACCCCTCGCCGTCGCGGGCGCCGATGCACGGCACGACGCAGGCGCCGCCAGGGCGAACGTTGATGTTTGTGTGAGTTGCTGTTACTCGAAAGAGGCAGGGTGGAGGTGCGCCCGGGACCGCGTTTCAGGAGGCTTCCTGAACGCCCCGCCCTCATCACGGGGAAAGCAGCTGTCGAGCTCCGCCCGGGGACAACAGCTGCCCCATGCCCTCGACGTCGTGATCTTTTCTTGACGTGGCCCCCCTGGAGCCTGGACCTCTTACCCGGGACTAGTCCCCGGGAAGAGGCACGAGGCAGGCTGATCGGGCGCAGTGGCAAGCGCCCAATCCAGCGGACGGCCCATTTCACCCAGGCCGACCCCGGGCAAGGGTGTCTTTAGGACCAATGAGGACTGGCTTCTCATCCTGAATAGTTCTGCTGACAATCCCGAGGCCCTGTAGAGGCCCCCGGAGGCGGAAAATTAGGGAAAACCTTCCGTCATGATTTGTTCCTTACCCGAGGGGGTCTGGGGTCGGGAACCAGCTGGGGGGAAGCAGCCGTCGAGCAACGTCCGGAAAGCAGCCGTCGGGAACCAGCTGGGCTGAGCAACGAAGACAGCAGCGGCCCGCGGGGCTCCTCGCTGGCGCACGGCGCCGAGGCACTCGCGTTTTCGGGAAGGCCAAGAAAAACTTCCTGAAGACCCAAACACTTCCGAGCCTTCTGAGAAGGCCCGCCCCTTCTCAATGTCCCCCTGGGCTTGTCGCCGAGTGTTGTAACAGGAAATACGTCGACCCCTGTCCCAGGCTTCCTGGGGTTCTCGAATGGACCAGAGATTGTGGGCCCAACCCTTGGATGTAAGAAGGGGGTCGTGCATCCTCGACAGGTGGTCCCATGGGCGTGTATGCCCGAGTGCCCCTCCTTTTCTGAGCGGCGAGCGAGAAATCGCCTGCGTTGTTGATCCTCGAGCACCCCGCACTTGCGGATAAGAGTGAGAGGGGGGCGGAGGCGCGGGCGAAGTCAGACGCCCCCCAAGTGTAGCCCCCTAACGTGGCCCACATACAAGTGGCCCCCAAATGCAGTCAACCCGTATAGTAAGGATGCGCGATAAGGATGCAAGGGCCTTGGAAGGCCACATCGAAACTTTTCGAGCGGGGCGCGGCCAACGGAAGTGGCCAAGGATGAGCCGAGGAGGTAAGGATGCAAGGGTACCCTTGGGAAGACCAGCCATCCTCACTATGCGGGTTGACTGTACGCGGCCCCCAAACACGGCCCCTAAACGTGGCCCCCCCACCCCCAGAATGTAGCCCCCAGACGCCAGCCCCCCCAGAGATCGAGCCACGCGCGCGCAGGGAGACGGACCCCCCTGGCAACTATCGAGCTATCACTGGCCGGGAGAGACCGCGGCAGCGCCTTCCCGAGGCCTGTGCACGGTTGGAGCCCCGGGGATCGATCGGTGAGGGCCTGCTGCTGGCGGGGACGGCCAAGAGGCCTCCAAGATCCCCGAGGACTGGCATGCGGAGCCGGAGCCTCCAAGCGGGGAGGAGCAGGAGCGCAGGAGAGCAGGGGCGCAGGGGGAGCAGGAGGAGGGGCAGGGGCGCAGGGGGGAGCAGGGTAAGCAGGGGGGAGGGGGCGGCGAGGCGAGGTGGGCAGGCGGCGAGAAGCTCTGAGCCTCCGGCGGGGCGCCGAGCCTTGATCTCGCTCTGGCACGTGAACTGCACGAACTGCGTCCTCGGCGGGTGCGGCGCGTGCTCGACGTGCAGTCCGAGGATGTCGTTGCCCCCCTTGCTCCACGGCGCCATCTTGGGGGCGGGAAGGCCTAATTACGTCTGGCCCCCCGTCCCTCTCTGCCTGGCCCCCAGCCACCCCTTGCTCGCTGCATCGCGCCCTTTCCCTCACTCCTCACTTCTCCCCCCCTAGAGGAGAAAAAACGGCATGCACCTAACCATTTGCCAGGAAATCCACGCGGAGCTCTCAAAGTTTCTATGAATGCCTGCTTTTTCTTCGACCCCCTTCCTTCACCTCTCCCCCCCCCGTCCCCCTCCCACCACATCGCCTCTCCGTCTCGCCCCCCATCACTGCCCACCTCCGTCCCTTCCCCGGCCCTACCTCTGGGCGGACGGCCCCCCTCGTGCATCGAGCGGGCCTGGCACGCAGCTGGCGCCTGGGAAACCAAAAAGCACCGATGCCGCTGCTCCCTGGACATCTCCCGGGGTACCTTCTGACCAGAACCCCACCAGCCCTTTAGGGCGTAGGCGGTCTAGGGCGGCTTCTCTTCCAACCCTCTTTTTCCCCTTCGGGGAGGGGCTTACCCCTCCCCCATACCCCCTCCCCTGGACCTGGACGGGAGGTTTCGCGAAGGGTTGGAGCGTCCAAGATGGCCAAAGATGGCTCCAAGATGCTCCAAGAGGCTCCAAGACCGCCCTGGACCTCTCCCGGGGTGCGTTCTGACCAGAATTTCGAAGCGAATCCAGCAGTGGCGACGAGGGCCTCCCAGGAGACCCTCCAAAAAAGGGGCGAAGACGAAGGAGTGGTAGCGGTACCTCTTCCAGGGTGCGCTCTGACCAGAATTGCGGGGAGAATCCAGCGGTGGCGACGAGGGACTCCCAGGAGACCGACCGTCCCGGCATTCTATAGCCTATACGCATACCACGCAAAAATGCTCACATAAGCCCGATATGCTAAACCAAACAATGTCAGCCAGAAATGTTGTAAAAAACACGTCGTGCAAACCACACAAGTTCCGAGACAATTCTTTAGGCCACATGAACAAGCCAGGACGCTTCGCCACTGCTAGAAAAAAAGGGGCAAAACGAGGGGGTGGTAGCGACCATGGGTGTTCTTTACTCCTCCGAGCGCCGTCCTTCGAAGGAGCGCCATTTGAGACCACAGCGGCTCTCCCGCACGCCCCAAAAATCCGTCCGAGATCGGTCCCCGGCGCCCTCCCGGCTCACCCGAGAAGGAGGAGGAGGAGGAGGAGGCAGAAGGGAGAGAGAGAGAGGAGGAGGAAAAGGAGCAGGAGGAGGAGGAGGAGGACGAGGACGAGGAGGATGAGGAGGACATGGACCGCGCCTCCTCACCCCCCTTGTCGACGCGGACCCGGCCGTGGCGACGAAAGGCCTCCAGGAGGCGGCCCAGGAAAGCACAGGAAGCGCCAGGGGAGGCCGCTGGATACTGGCTTCAGGAGTTCTCGCGGGCACGACCCCGAACCAAGACAAGCCTGGTCATACACTGCTTCAGTGATGGCTTCTTCGGCACCCTGGCTGAGACAAACCACGTGCGCACACAGTTCCCAAGCTTGCTCGATCGCCTGCAATCCTGCGAACACAAAGCTTCTTGTTTCCGGTAGCGCTCCTTACCTCGGCGGGGGGGGGCGGGGGGATGGGAGCCCCGGGCAGCGGCAACGCCGCAAGGGCGGGGCGGGGCACGTCGGAGCGCAGGGGCGCCGCGATCGCCGCAGTGCGCGCGCGAGCACCAGCACATGTGGGCGGGGGTCCAGCCCTCCCCCACACGTACCGTGGAGGCCCGACCACAAGTAACCTTCCACAAGAAACCCAACCCTGGAACCCCAGGACGCCTATTGATTTTTGATGTGGGCACGCCACGCTTCCCATGGCAAAACCATCGAAACCCAAGAAACCCAGGGCACCCCGGAGGCAAGCAGGGTGTTTCTTGGCCTGGGCCCCCGCTGCACGATCGTCACCGCTACCCGGGAGGGGGGAGGAGGGAGTCTGGCCCGGGCAACCGCCGCTGCGCACCACCACCACCACCACTGAGCCAAGCATCCGGAAGGACGCGTGGGCAGAAGAGCGCGCGATTGGCGACACTTCGGGCAGCTAGAGAAACGTGACGAGAAGACGGAGCGCCTCACGACTGCGAGGCAGAAGAATGGAGCGCCCGACTGTGCGGCAGAGACGAGCAGCGCGCCAGAGGATCAAAAAAGAACTGGCACCCTCCAGGGGAGGGCGGCCGCGGCCTCGGCGGCCGCGGCCTGAGGCCCAACCCGAGGGCGGGCGCCCCCACTCGACCCCCCGCGGGCGCCTCGCCCGCGGCCGCGTCGAGGTCCGAGCCCGCCGCCCGCGCGGGGGTGCGCGCGTCCTCGGGGCCGAGCGCCCAAGGAGACGAGGGGGCAGCACGCGCAGGCGGCGACATCCGCACCCTCGAGATCGGAATCGGAATCGGAATCGAGGTCGAATAGAATCGAATCGGAGGAATCGACACGAGCCCTGTGGCCCCCCCGCCAACCCTCGCTCCTCCGGAATCGGGCGGGGGGGTCTCGGAGGTCGCCACGTGCTCGGCGAGCTCCCCAGACCCCCGACGTCGTGAGTTTTCACGGCGTGACCCCAGGAGCCTGCACCCCTTCCCGGGGACCAGTTTTTCGTCCTGAATCGTTTTTGACGGTCCCGAGGCCCGGCGAGGGCCCCTGGGGGCCGAAAATAACGAAAAACCGCCCGTCGTGATTTTTTCACTACCTGAGGGGGTCTGGGAACCCTGCCCCCGCCGTCCACCGAGTTGCCTGCCCGAGTCATGGATCGGCGAGGGCAGGGTTCGGTGAAGAGTCGTACAGTTGGCCCGCATCACAAGGATGCGCGATAAGGATGCAAGGGCCTTGGACGCCCATCTCGAAGCTTCTCTTGCGGGGCGCGGCCAACGAAGATGGCGAAGGATGGCCCGAGGGGGCAAAGACCCAGACCCCCGACGCCATGATGCTTTCATGACGTGACCCCATGCAGCCTGGAGGCCTGGCGAGGGCCCCTGGAGGCCGAGAATGACGCAAAACCTCCCGTCGTGATCTTTTCACATCGCGAGGAGGTCGGGGGATGGCAGGGGTACCCCTGGGGAGGTTCCCGTGCGGGCCGACTGCATCGTCGGAAAGCCGGGGCGCGCGGGCGGCCGCGCGGCGTCCTCGAACCTCAGCACCCTGTCCCACGGCCCGAGGCCGGCGCTGTCCGGCTGGTCGGTGTCCTCCGCGACCTGCTCGCCGCCCTGGCGGCGAGGAGGCGCCGGGGGGGGGGAAGGGAGGCAGCGGGGGGGGGGCGAGGAAGCAGGGCGAGGAGGAGGAGGAGGAGGAGGAGGGAAGGAGGAGGAGGAGGAGGAGGCCTAGGAAGGGGACCCGATTACGCAAGATTCCGTCAACAACTACGGCCTGCCATCCCCATCATGGGACCACAACAAGCGCACACGACAGATCAACTGCGGACATCACGAGCGTGCGCGTGGGGAAGCCGATGAGGACGATTGCTAAGGGATGCACGACTCAAAGAACTACAGGCATTGCGATACGAATTCAGGCTATACCGAGTAGCTGGAGGCGCGTACGTACGACGTCTTCAGCGCTACGGACAGGGTACGCCCTGTGCTATGCTGCGCCGTCCTCCGTACCACTCCTACAAGATCTAATGAGCGGCCTGGCCGCTCCCCCCCCCCGCTTCCTCGGATGTGAGCACAGCCCCCCAGCGTCGTGATTTCTTCATGACCTGACCCCCCAGAGGTCTGGACCCCTCCCCCTGGACCGGCCTTTCGTCCTGAGTCGTTCTTTGACGGCCCCGAGGGCCGGATAAGGGCCTCTGGGGGCCGAAAAAGTTTGGAATGACCTCCCGTCATGATTTTTGTCAGGACTCGAAGGGGTCTGGAATTGAAGGATGGTTGGTGGCCTCCCTCCCCCCCTCGCTTTAGATTTAGATCGGGCATGTCCCCCTACAGGCGGATCCTGGTGGAAAAATAATAATAAATAGTCAAGCGACAATCCCGAATAGTGAAAATAATAGAAAATGGTCACCATACCATATTTTTAATGTTTTTGATAAATCCTCCTTTAGAAGGACACGCCCGACTTAGCTTTAGACGACGGTCCCCTGGTGGCACCCGGGGGGGGGCCCGGGCGCCGGGGGCACCGCCGAGGCGGCTGCGAGAGAGGAGGCGGAGGAGAGGAGGAGGAGGAGGAGGAGGAGGAGGAGGAGGAGGACGACGAGGATGAGGAGGAGGAGGACGAGGAGGAGGAGGAGGTGAAGGACGAGGAGGACGAAGGGGAGGGAACGGGAGAGGGGACCAGGGCAAGCTAGGTGCACTCGCGCCATATCTGACATCCTATACTTCCCTCCCATCCCTTCCCATTGCGCTGACGGTTCTATATCCGCGGACGCGTGTCAGAGCTGGCCCAGAACTCTAAAAAATACTTCATGGTGTTATGCGCAATCGGGAAAGTTCTCGAGGCACACTGAGCCACTGAGCCAAAGTTCCCGAGGGGGCGTCCACGAGGGGGGGGGGGGGCGTCCAAGAGGGAGGGGAGTGGAGGAGGGGGGGCGCAAATCATGGCCGGCGGCATGTGCGCGGTCCAGGGGGGTGCCGGGGACGCATTGAAACAAGAAGAGGCGCCATGAAATCTGGGGAGATCTCATGGTCCCCGCCATGACATGCAACCCTCCCTGATCACCACCCCCGTCTTTGCCCCCGAACTCCCCCCAAGAATTGCCCTTGCCCCTACTCCAAACCCCCGACGTCGAGATTTTATGGCGTGACCCCCAGGAGCCTGGACCCCTTCCCAGGGAACCGGTTTTTCGTCCTGCATAGTTTTTTTTGGTCGGTCCCGAGACCTGGCGAGGGCCCATGGAGGCCGAAAATAACGAAGACCCTCCCGTCGTGATTTCTGTCGCAACGCGGGGGGGCCGTGGTTTGCCGCCCCCGAACTCCCCCCAAACGTTGCCCCTGCCCCACCACCCCCCCCCCCGCCCGGCCGCCTTGTCGCCAACGCCCGGCGGCGACGAGAGGCGGGCAGGCTCCGGGACTGGCTGCGCCCCGCGCAGCTGCCACGGCGCCGGCCCGGCCTCGCCGCCCTCCGGCCCGAAGCAGCCCGAGCGGATCCTGCGGCATAAACATAGAAGAAGAAGAAGAACAACAACAAAAAACATAAACCAAAAACAACAACTAAAAACTGCACAAACACAGACTTTCGGAGCTCCGCGCGGACTTCTTGGATCCGCGTTGGGCGCCCCTCTGGCGGCGCCTCGGGCGCCGCCCCTGGCGCGCGGAGCGCGCCAGGGAGGGGGGTCCAGCGCAGATCCAAGCAATCCGCGCGGAGCGCCAACAGTTTCTGTTTATGTTATTTTCCTCCGTCTAAGTCTTCGAGTCTAAGTAGAAGCTCGACCACAAGAAACCTTCTACAAGAAGCCCGGCCCTGCGACCCCAGGACGTCCCTTGATTTCTGTTGGTGCGGGAGGGTCATGCTTCCCACAACAAATTGCCATCGAAACCTAGAAACCCAGGGCACCCTGGAGGCAAGCAGGGTGTTTCATGACATGGGTTCTCACTGTAGATAGGGTCGGAGGATCGCGCCGCATCGTCGATGCATCACCAATGCATCGGCGATGCACTAGCATGCCGGCGATGCATGGAGAAAGTCGGGCTCCACATCCATCGGTGATGCGGCGGAGTCCTTCGACCTTGGAGGCGGCCGGGAGTCTGAACTGGTCGGGACTGACAGGAGGGGGGGATTAAGCCAAATCTCCCCGGACACCTTCCAGGATCCGGATCAATGTTTGACTGCCCATGAGGCCGAAAACGGCCCCTGGTGACTGAAGAAGGCAAGAAACCAGCTCGAACCCAGCACCTCGAACCTACCCGCCCGCCCTGCTGGCTGGAACCAGCGCTGGGCCAACTCAGACCTCCAGATGGCTCCAAACCCCATCTCACGAGGGGTGAGGCGAGCCCAACCCCCAATTTTCGGTGGTTTTCGCTTCGGCCCAAAATTGTGGGCCCAACTCTAGGGTATACGAAAGGGGGGGGCGTCCATCATCGATGGAGATACTTCTGAATAGCCCCCCAGGAGTGCACCCCAGAGTTCCCCCCCTCTTTTCTGAGCGGCCCGACTTTTCGGGCGGAACTCGGCGATTGGGGGGGGGGGGGGGGGGAAATCGCCTGCGACCATCTACAGCCGGCCCGTATCATAAGGATGCGCGATACGGATGCAAGGACCTTGGACGCCCATTTCGAAGATTTTCGAGCGGGGCGCGGCCAACGAAAGTGGCCAAGGATGGGCCGAGAAGGCAAGGTTGCGAGGGTACCCTTGGGAAGGCTGCCCGTCCTTACTAGGCGGGCTGACTGCACTCCGACCACATCTGGGAGGTGCCCCGCGAACGCAGGAGCGGGCGGCCCTCCCAGCCCAGGTCAGGCCAGATATAACCCCCCTTGGCATCCGCTGATAGATCCCCGGTCCCCTCAGGCAACCCCCGCGCCCATCCCAGTCGCCTCATTCTTCGCATCTGGGAAGCCCTCGTCGCCACCGCCGGATTCGCCTCGAAATCCTGGTCAGAACGCCCCCCCGGCAGAGGGAGCAGCGTAGTTCTTACCGCTCGGTTCCGCCATCCTCGCCCTCCCTCCCAGGCCTCCTCGCAAAACAACTCGGGGCAAGAGGTAACGCAACAGCCGAGTAATGTTACAGCCGCCGTGCCACGCTACGGCGTTAATGCACAGTGTCCCCAAGCGCGGTGGCGGATATGCGCGACACCACACCTGGAATACAACTCCTGTCATAGAAACGCCAGAGGAGGCACTCCAATTCGTTTGGCCTCACTTTCACGGGCCTGCCATACGTCCGAGAGACGCGTATGGTGGGATAGCCCGTCTGGAAGGGAGACGGACATTCATTATCGACACTTGCCCAAAATGGCGATCGTCGATTACACTAGACTCGCTTCTATAGCGTTTATGTCTATCATGTTCATGTTCCGCTCGGGGCTTCGAAAGGGCCACACATGCGCGCCTCCATCAAATAACTTCCTGCGACAAGCGCCCAACAGGCTCGGCCCCTTCTGCCGTGACTCCCAGCAGGCCTGTGCCGAAAATGCCCATTCCGTAGACTGGACTGTTTCAACTGTGTAGAATGCTTCCGAGAGCCCTCCACTGGAGCGGAGCCTTTCTGACGCGTCCCGACCTCGATTTGCGAAGCTCGTGCGATGGGTGCAGCTCCCCATCTTACAGCTCCGGTCCGCAGGGCGCCTGCGCGAGGCAGGAGCTCATCCATGACCACCACCCGAGGGATCGACCCTCGGGGGCCTCGTCTGGCGGCGCACGTGGACGCAGCTTTCGGTCGGGCACGTCTCTCTCCAGGAGGAGCAGTCAAGAACTGGGAAGATGCATCGGCTGCTTTCGACCATCCTTGAATTTGCTTGGACTGCTTTTCATGTTACTTCCAGGGAAAGACCCCAATCAATGGATGGCTTTCGCTGAGGAGATCGACCGGGAACCCGGGAGCCGAAGAACCCAGACCACACCGAAATCGGCCCGGAACCAATAACTGGGAACCCGGGGACCCGGGGACCCGGAACTGGGGAACCCAGCCTGCTACCAAAATCGGCGGGAAACTTTCGCCAAATCTTTCAACTTCCGCTAGGACCCCTTCAGTGCAAGCACTGATTGGGGAAAAATCCGCCTGTAGGAGGACATGCCCGACCTGCACGTAGCTGCGCCCCCCCCCACCCGGGCCAGAACAGATCTCCGTGCTCCCCCACCTGCCGAGGCCCCCGCCCAACGATGCCTCCCCCCGGATGAGGCCCCCGAGAGCCTTCCGAAGAGACCCCAAGCAGCACCCCTGATGACCCTGCACGAGAACGGCGCTCATCCACCGTACGTCCATCATGTCCGAACTCCCGTCAGGCCTCGCTCCAACGCGGTACGGTGCATGGTTTATTTTGGCCCCGAGGGCCGATCAGCCATGGGCCATGCACCGTGCCACGGCTGGGTCGAAGATCGACAACGCCGCGGGAGACGCCAACGCCGCGGGAGACGCCAACGCGGGTACGGAGCATACATATCGTCCGCGGACTCTGGCCCACGTCAGCGTCGTCGTCGTCGTCGCCGCCGCCGCCGCCATTGTCGACAATATGCTGTTTCACCCTGACTGCTCACACTGCGGCCGATGTGCCGTCATGGCACGGCTTCTGACATGAACAAATAGCGGCACAAACATAAACTTTCGCCGGTCCGCGCAGATTTCTTGGATCCGCGCTCGACCCCCCTCCCTGGCGCGCCTTCAGCGCGCCAGGGGCGGCGCTGGAGGCGCCGCCAGGGGGTCCCAGCGCAGATCCAAGGAACACGCGCGGACCTCCAAACGTTTATGTTTATGCCGTTTTGTATTCTTCGATTGTCGTCGTCGTCCCCCCTTTCAGTTGGATGTTCATTCTGGGGGCATTCCTGGAGACACTCGCTCCACTCTTGCGTCGAACGTCCGTCGAACGTCCGTCGATTCGAATCGACCCTGAGTCGAACCTGAGTCTAACCTGAGTCGACCCTGAGTCGACCCTGAGTCGAACCTCAGTCAAACTTGAGTCGAACTTGGGTCGAACCTGAGTCGAACTTGAGTCGAACTTGGGTCGAGCTAGAGTCGAACAGATCCGGTAGGTGGGCCCCAAGAAGGTCCCCCAAGCGAGCATCTCATTCCAAGGTCGGCGGCGCCGGCCGTGGGGGTGTCGCAAAAGAGAGCCGTGTGCACCGCCTGCCGAGAGAGGTCCCCGGAGAGGGCGCTGCCGCGGTGGTGGCCAAGGGCAGATAACGCGCCGCGGGGCCTGGGGGTGGCCCAGTAGGGGCAGGCCCTCTAGCACACAGGACGCCAGGCCATACAGTCAGCCCGCCTAGTAAGGATGGGCAACCTTCCCAAGGGTACCCTTGCATCCTTGCCCCGTCGGCCCATCCTGGGCAACTTTCGTTGGCCGCGCTCCGCTCGACAAGCTTCGAAATGGGCGTCCAAGACCGTTGCATACTTACGGAGCATCCTTATTGTGCGGGCTGACTGTACATCGGCGCGCGTGCCTTTAGACAGGCACGCTCCACTACAGTCAGCCCGCATAATAAGGATGCGCGATAAGTATGCAAGGGCCTTGGACGCCCATTTCGAAGCTTGTCGAGAGGGGCGCGGCCAACGAGAGCGACCAAGGATGGGCCGACGGGGCAAAGATGCAAGTGCACCCTTGGGAAGGTTGCCCATCCTTACTAGGCGGGCTGACTGTACTCGCAAAGTAACTAGTCGCACATGGCCCAGATCCCCTGCGCGGGGTCTACGATCAATGACATTGGGGCACACGTGTGCTTCTCTGGCTTTTACAAGTGGGCACTTTGCGAGTACAGTCGGACCTAGGCCAGAAGAACGTCCCTCAAGAACATGAGACCTTCCGAGCGCCACAAAACACACAGAACATCCAAGGGTCCCCTCCCCAGGATGCACGAGAACGTCCAACGAAAGCACGAAGAACAGCAGGATACCTTCCCCGAACCGACCTCGATCTTATACCTCGGTCCGACTGTACAGTCGGAGCCCGACCACAAGAAACCTTCCACAGCGGGATTGTTGGTGCGGGAGCGTCACGCTTCCCACAGCAAACTGCCATCGAAGCCCGAGAAACCCAGGGCACCCTGGAGGCGAGCAGGCTGTTTCTTGGAATGGGTTTCCCGCTGCCAGTGAAACGCGCTCGGTGAGCCACGAAGCGAAGAGAGGCCTGGTGCAGCTCCCGCCCGCCGCGTGCGCCGACGACGGGAGGCAGCACGAGGGGAGCCGGCGCACCGGGCACCGGGGGCCCGAGGCGCGCCCGCGGACGAAGAGGTGCCCAAGGGGAACGGAACGGAACGGACCCGCGGGGGGAGTGCACAGCACCAGGGCTCCCAGGGAGCCAGGCTGAGGAGGTGCGAAAGCGTGGGGAGAGGGACTCCTGCGAGGTGCCCGGGGCCCTTCTCGCTCCTCCTCCTCCTCCTCCTCTTCCTCCTCCTCCTCCTCCTCCTCCTCCTCCTCCTCCTCCTGCTCCTCCTCCTGCTCCTCCTCCTGCCCCTCCTGCTCCTCCTGCTCCTCCTGCTCCTCCTCGTCCTGCTCCTCCTCG